TGTTAGAATACAGAAGCATCATCCTGAAATGTATAGATACCTTAACAATAGCAAGTAAAAACTGAAGACCAACATTTGTCCCACAAGATCTATTTTAGTAACTCCTGATAGTTTGCCAATTTCTTTTAGACTTGATTGTGATAGAGAGGAGGAATAAGTTCATGATTCCTTTATCTCCAGAATAGTTACTAAATGAGGTGAGAGTGCTGTCCTTTCAGCTCTACTGTTTCCAAAGGTGCTAAGGGTAAACTTCTCCTTAAATTTGAAACCTATACTCTAGTTCTACTATATTAGAAGACTTGTCATGTTCTAGCTTTCGGCTACATTTTGTTTCACTTACTCAAAATTACTCAATGGGCTTTCTCTTTTTAGTTACAGAAAATCAAGGATCAATATAGTAATTCATGTGATAGTGCTATTTTTAATAAGTTGGTTTATTTCAAATATAGACACTTCTCTGTAACAGCATTTGAATTAAAAATACTCAAAGTTACCACTTAACTGTATGGTTCGTGTCATTTAACACAATTGTCATGCCCAGTTCACCCCTTGACAAGATTAGAAAATAAAATATTGGAAAATAGCATATTGAATTTCTAAGCTAATCTTTAGTTCAGTTCACTAACACTCCACCCCACCCATAGAATTTCTAGCAAAATATATAATGAATGCCATGCTCTAGTTATGCATAAATTCCCTAGAAATTCAGATCTATTTATTAATAAATTTGTTGTTAATAGCAATCTAATCCTAGAATGTTTCCAGATACCATCAAATTCATGACTTTTTAAGCAAAATGCTTCTTTTTAACAAAAATTCATAAGAAAAATTATATAAATCAAAGTTTTATTTTACTGTGTAAATTTATCCCTATAACATATTCTGTGTTCTCCAAACTAATAGCCAACCCAAATTATAATATATTTACATTTACTGTTAATAGTTTCACAAACACACTTATACTTACAAATTAACTGCAAGTATATCTTTAATATTCCAATGACATGTGTAGAAGAAGATACTATAGATTAGATTATTTTCTGGTTTTAGAGGGAAAGGATACATTAAAAATCTCTGGAGCCTGGTACACTGGCGTACGCCTGTTATCCCAACACACTGGGACACTAAGGCAGTCTGATCGCAAATTTGAGCCTAGCTTGAGCAATTAGTGACTTAGGGAGACCCTGTCTCAGAATGAAACATACCACATACACACAAAAAAGAAAAATCTAGGAAAAAATTATTAACATGCTTATCAGCTCTCACAAAATGCCATTTAATTCCTTTTCATATCCCTTAACAGTGAATTAAACTTCAGGCCAAATGTGTTTGTGCATTTGTTTGCTCTTTGAACACTGAGAAATAATTCAATCCCCAGTACCAAAAAAAAAAAAATGAAACTTGAAAAGTAGTCAGGGGCTAGGGATGTGGTAGAATGCCTACCTGGCATGTATAAGGCCCTGGGCTCAATCCTCAGCACCACAAAAAAATTTTTTAAAATGCCCCTCCTGGTTTGTTTTTTAGGTACTGGGGATTGAACTCAGAGCCTTCATCCCCACCCCACCCCCTTTTTTCAGGATCTCTCTAAGTCACTAAATTGCCCAGGCTGGGCTAGAACTTGCAGTCCTCCTGTCTGACAGAGTATTCAGATTACAGGCACGTGCCACCAAGCCCTAAGCCAGTTCCTTTTATCACTTTTATTAGAGGCTTTTGTGTTGTTTATTTTTTTCTTTTGAGACAGGGTCTCACTATGTAGTTGAGGCTGGTCTTGTATAGACAGGCTGAACTTGCTGCAATCCTTCTGATTACAGGTGTGTGCCACCACACCCAACTTCTACGGGGTCTTTTGTACTTCTGTTGTAATAACTATCCTAATAAGTGAGATTCCTAAACTGCCTTTCTGTGGTGATGAAGGCCCCCTGAGATCTTCATTTCAACTAAAGAGATTCACTATTCTCTCTTTCAGAAGTTAAAATCATACTCATTTAAGAATATTTTATTTTCTTCTTAATCAGTAGCATTGGTATATGTCCAATGATTGATTCAAGGAATTTAGTTTGGGTGTTAAAGGTTGTTTTGCTTGGCCTGCCACATTTACAGCTAGAGCCTCCACACTTAGAGCCTCCCCATCAAAAGAGTGTGTGTGAGAGCTTATGCCCCACAACTAGGTTTGCCTTTTTCTATTTTTCTTTTGTGGCAACAGTCAAAACAGTGTTTATTTCTGGCTTGTAATAGTTTACATTTGTTCTGACCAGAGTTTTTTTTTAGGGTTGTCCACAGCCATTGGGGTAATTCTTTTTGTCATAAACAACTTATATTAAAATAAAGTAGAAATAGGAAATTATTTTAAAGTAATATAGCTAAGAGTTCAAATACTTTCATGGGATCAGAAAATTTTCTTTTCTCCATCTAAAACTTCAGGCAGTGGAAATCTAATGCTGTAGATAAGCGATTTGTTTTTCCATTTAAAAATCACTTTGGTATCATTTCCCCTTACATAGCATATCCTTGTGTCTTGAAGGACTTCTTTTCTTTTCAGTGGTGGTCAGTTTCTTTGTAGGCTTTTACTTTTGAAGACTAACCCCAACACTTGGGAATATTATGATCCGTAGCTCTACATTTTTAAAATAGTAATAATAAGACAGTGATTACAGAAATGCCAAATTCTTGCCTATGTATAACATCCTGCCTTGTAAATAATGTCTTTCCTACATGGCCAAAAACTTTAAAATGAGTCCCTTCCTAATAAGTAAATTGAGCCCATACTTAGAGACTTCTTACAGGAAGGTGGCAGAGTGGGCTGTCACATAAAAAACTCTTCTAACAGAATCATCGGCTCTTCTATTTATTGTTAATTTCTGCCACGTATCTCTCTCTAAGCTTGCTTTCGTTTCCATCCTGGCAATGGCTTCATTCTGCACCCTTTGTCAATCTTAGTCAGTATTACAGCCACACTTCCAGGAGTGGTCATAGGCAGTTCTCATGGTTCAGAATGGAGGGCTCAATGTGGAGTTCAGAGGATTACGATAAAACAGATAAGGAAATAGGAAAAAATACTTAACTACCTGCCAACTGGTAAGTTTTCCCTGACCCTCTCTCCTAACATTAAGGCATTGTTGATCTAAACACAATAAGAATATCTGAATAGTTTAGAAAATTCTGTCCTCCAAAATTTCAAACAGACTATAGAAACTTTCCCAAAGAATTCCAATTTGACACTTTGTAAAGCTCTTTCATGTTTCCTCTTCTCTATTCATCCATGGTACAAAGATTAATTGCATGCGGTTCCCTCCATTTTTATTTTGTAATTCTATACTTCTGGCCCTTCCCCTTCCAAAAGGCGGCTTCATATGTCCAGCAAAATCTAAGATGTCTACCCTCCACCCAAGACAGAGTTGATCATCTTTGACACCTACCTGCTTAGTCTCCTGAGTCTACTACTGAGTGTAATTCCCCTTATTGGCAACACCACTCACCAGGTCAGCTCTACAGATTGTTCTTAGCCTACTTAGCCTACTTCCATTTTTTTTTCAATAAATGTATATACCAACATAAGTACATCATTATTTGTTTGCAGCTAAATAGGCTTCTGTTTAATGAAACATTGTTCAGCAGATAATCATCATTTTTTTTATTTTCAAGAGACGTTTCAACCCACTTAGCAAGGGCAAGTGAGCTTATATATCTTAAGCTCACATTATAGATTATCTACTTTAAGTATCAGTTTTAGAAATGGGAACTCTATTTTTTGAAAATTGAACCCCCATGCTATTGTTGATACCTGATTTTTTTAGATTGGTTACTTTTAATAGATAAATTCACTTTGTTGTAAAACTACCACCATAGAAAGGTGTGCAGTAAAAAGTCTCATCCTTATCTCTTATCTGCCTCTCCAATAAGTAACCATTCTTCTTAGTTTGTAATATGTCCTTCCAAAAATGTGACCTACAGTTACTGATAAAAATAAAAGAATAATTCTCCCCTTTTTCATACAAAAAACTAGTCTATATACATTCTGCAACTTTTTTCACTTAGTATATATTTGTTATCTTTCCATGTCAATATTTAGGGAGCTGCTTTCTGCCCCACTGTCTTTAATAGCTGCAAAAATATTTCATTGTATAAAAGTACCATAATTTATACAGCCACTCCCTCAACAGATTTTTTAAATTTTTGTTACAAATAATTCTGTAGTGAACAACCTGTATAAGCAAACATATATGCATTTGGATCCAGTAATCTGAAAATGCTAATCTGAAGATTTTATGCAATGCTAGTGTACAAAAGGAAAGGAACACCAGCATGTGCTTTACTCCTCAATCTTTTTGCCTATATTCTTTTTTTTTCCAGACTTCCAGACTTCTAATTTCTACTGTCTTTTTGCACCATGTTTGTCTCTTTTTGATTATAAGATTATTTCAGCAATCCCAAACTTAATTCTTGACTTCTTGGCTGCTTTCAGTATTTTCTTTCCAGAAATGTAAGAGTAGTTAATCTAGTGAGAATAAAGAGTTCAGAATTGGATGGATTGGTTTTTTCACATGCTTACTATGGCAGGCATCAAATGAATATATCTACATTATATTAAGTTTTTTGCAAGGACTCAGTGATTTATGTTACTTTAGTTAAAGCTCACTCTTTCTTTTCATTTGATACTACAAAGTATTTATTGTAAAATTTCATACAATATAGCCATGCAATGTAATCCTCTGCTTGATACTGAGAATTTTAACATACATACCTTATTTTTGTTTTTGGTGGGAAAGGTTTAACTGTGGTTATAGCCCAGCTTCAATGAGTCAGAAATTTCCTTTGGAAAGGAGGGGTTTTTATTGCTCTGTAAATTTTATCAAATTAAAAGGCTCTTTTTCTCCTTTCCTCAGTATTTGAGATTTTTTTTTCCTATTGTGCATGATAGAGGAATGCTGCTGTGCTTGCAAGTAATTAACTTGAAATTGTTTTGAGTAATTCTGCTTTTTCGGCTTTTTGTACCTAATCAGAATTGATGTGACTGAAGTGCAAATCTTCATAATAATCATGCATTTGCTGGCAGTGATTGGAGGACCACCTTTTTGGCAATCTATGGTAACTTTGTTCACCTGTGTACCCCATATAATGCATGTTGTCTTTTGCCTCTGTTTTCTAATATGGGATAACCCAGTTAAAAGTTAATATTTAAAATTATTTTTCTGAAAGTGAAAAGTTACAACAAACAATAGAACACAAACTTCTCTTTAAAGTATGGTGCGTTTCTCTGCTTAGGGTTCTGTAGTACATTAGGTGTATTCCAAGGCTATTTTTGAAGGCTTTTGAGGATTGAATCATTATTGTCATCTCATTTTACATATGAGGAAATAGGTAATGTAACAAATCAACCAGTGGTAAGATGAAATTAGACCTTTTATTTTCTTTGTGAACTATAGAGTCTACAGTTTTTATGCCATGTGGTTAAAGATAAATAACAAATTTGGAAGCTGGGTGTGCTGCCGTATGCCCATAATCCCAGCACTTGGGAGGCTGAGGCAAGAGGAGCACCTAGAGTTCAAGGCCAGTCTGGGCTGCATAGTGAGTTCAAGGACAGCATGAACTACATATCGAGATCCTATCTCAAAAAACAAAAGAAGAAAAAATTTTGAAATGGTAAAAAAGAGGATCAGCGCAGGCCTGGGATTTAGGCTCAGTGGTGCTGCTCCTGCCTTGTAAGCACAAGGTCCTGAGTTGATCCCCAGTACCAAAAAAAAAGAGAGAGACAGAGAGAAAGAGACAATAAATGCTTACTGAATGAAGTCAGTGCCATGGGATTGTTTTAACAACCCAGGACCTTGTTTTTCAGTCTGACCTGAAATATAGTCACTACAGCACAAACTTTTCTATACACCTTTGAGAGGGAATATATCGGCCTAGAACACAAACTGTGGAACCAGACTACCTGCATTTGATCCAGGTTCTGCTGCCTACTATGTGAACATAATATGTAACTTTCTCTGGCATCATTTCTTGCTGTGTAAAATGAAGACAATAATAATACCCAAAAATTTACTTGTGGATTGAATGTTAGTCTTTGTAAAGCTAGAATAGTAGCTATCCAATAATAATCAGTGAAAGCTGATGCTTCTCTTATTTGAATATTTTCAATTGAATTTCTAAGATCTAGGTCAAAATAACTTATTCTTTCTGGTCATCAGTTAGCTACCAGTCACCACCACCACCCCTTCAGAATTAAAATAATCCACAGTCAGCCAGAACAGTTTCAAAGCTATTCATGTGTGTAATAGTATTCATACATCTTAAATTTTACTATAGAAATCCTATTGGTTTTTAAGACTAATGTATATATATGAATTTTATTATTACTTTTGCTCTTCAATAGATTTTTTTCAATTTAGTCTCATAGGAAAAACAATAGATTTTTGGTTTTCTAAAACCTGAACATAAAACCTAAAGTCTATCCCAATCTCCAATTGACTATATTGCTTATTTTTATAGGCTTTGTGGTATAAACCAAAAATCATTTTGAATATCTTGAACATATATAAATTATGCATAAAGTTTCAGCACATTTATATTTTAAAAATTAGATTTCTAGCTTTACCATTGAAAACAAGTTAACATCTGATTTATATACCTAATTATGCTCAAATATGGAAATGCATGAAATGTTGTAAATGAAGTTATCTAAACACATTATACCTGTAGCCTCATTTCTTAGAGGATATCTGCCAATAAATTGCTCCAGGTATGCTTTTTATCTTTCTTTATAGGATCTGTACATAGTATCTGTAAATACATATAACATATAATTTTTAAAGGTCAAATATTTTGTCCTATCCTTACTTGTAATTAACATAATCTGAGATAATATAATTATCCTTTTTTTAAATCTGAGATAATCTAAGGTAGAAAAAATCATTGCAAATTTTTAAAAGTTATCCATAAAACTCAAGTCTGAAATGGAGTTCAAGACCAAGCAATCTAAATTTAATGAGATTAGATTGCAGTAAGAAAACAGATTCTGTGGGGTATGGTGGCACATGCTTGTAATCCCAGCATTTGGGAAGCTGAGACAGGAGGATCGCTGCAAATTTGAGGCCAGTCTGGCCTACATAGTAAGTTCAAGACAGCCTGAACTTCCTAACAAGACATTGTCTCCAAACAAAGAAATGACAAAACAGATTCTTGGACCCCTATCCTATTAGCTTCATAGGTCCTACTGTTAAACTGAAAAAGAAGAAAGGACCTTAGTTGGGTGATAATAGGAAACTGAGTAACATTCCAGTAGATTCCCATAATTGACCTCAGGACACTGCATAATTGGGTTTCCCTTACCCAAAATGCTTATGACCAAAAATATTTCACATTTTGGATTATTTCAGATTTTGACATATTTGCATAAACTACCAGTTGAACGTCTCTAACCTAAAAATACAGAGTTTTAAATGCTTCAAAATCTGAAACCTTTTGAGGGTCAAATTTTGGATTTTGGAATTCTTTGGATTTTAGGATTGGAAATGTATAACCTGTATTTTTACTTGCCTTATGGATTCGTTACTGAATATAGTGTTTTGAATTGCATTGTGTTACTTCAAGTACAGTTACTACATGTAGTGCTGCCATTTATTTGTGTCCCAAAATGGAGAAAGGATACAAATTTTTCATCTCTTTGAGGCCACAAAACAAATAATTGCTATCCAAATCATCAAATTAAACTAATCCTCACTAAATTAAATTAAATTAGAATTCTTCTACTGATAAGCAAATTTATGATAAAAACAATGCAAATGTCTTCACAAGGTTAATTCCTGAAAATCAGCTATTTTGTACAGGTAAGTGATTTACATCTGTTGTATTTCCTTGCTACTTTTTTTTTCCCAAAGAGATGAGTTTGTACTAAAGGCTGCAGTTAGCTTGTGTTGTTACTGTTTTCCTGAAGCTTTTTGTTTGGTTGATTTTCTTTTTGCTTTTTTAAGGGAAAAAATTATTTTAATATACAAAAGTTAGGATATGGTTTACATCTTGCAAGAAACAAAAAACATATTTTTTGTGTATTGTTTTCCCCAAAGTATATTTCCCTTTGAAATATCTTCTGTCTATTCACTAGATAGAATGTCCTCACTTTGAAAGAGACCCACATATAATCCACTCCTGGTTACTTTCACTGACATTAGATTCTTTTAAATGCAATAGTTTATTAGATATCCACACCTTTTAGGATTCAGTTAAAGCTGAGTGAGTGTTACTATTACAGGTAATATTTTAGGATCATGTGTTAGGATTGGAATTTTATTATATAGTATTTTGTCTCATTTTTGAACTAAAAGATTTAAATCATACATGGTGGGTACTGTATGTTAACATTTACTGTATTTGGGTGGAATTCATGTAAATGAAAATGATTTACAAATAGGCACTCCCATATTTCTTTGAAAAATTATCAAATCTGTATTTTCTACTTTTGCTAAAATCTACAAAACTTCTAAGAACATTTTATTATACTCATCAGAAAACGAGTTAATGTTTAATAAGTGATAGTAATCTGAATCCAATTTATTGAACTAATTAGCATGTTCATTATAATCTGGCAGAGATGCTAACAACTTAAGGGTTTTTTTTTCATATCTAATCATCACTTTCCAAAGCACATTGTATTTAGATTGATAGTATTTAGTATTTTCATGATGTGAATCCAGAGGGTTTTGCCTTGCCTATTGAACAGATACCATAATCCAAGGATTTTTGCCTCCTTTCCCCCACCTTGGGATTAAAGATTAAACCCAGAGCCTTTGGACTGAGCTCCATTCCGGCTCCTTGGTTGGTTGGTTGGTTGATTGGTTGGTTCTGAGACAGGGTCTCACTAAATTACCCAGGCTCTACTTGGAATTTTTGTCCTCCTGCCTCACCCTCCCAGGGTGCTAGCTTACAGGTGTGTCTCACCATGCCCAGTTCCCAAGGGAATTCTTAATCATCCCAGGTTTTAAAGACTACTGTAATTCCAGACAGGCCTGAGATAAAAGTGTTTTTAAGATAGCTCTTTGGCTATTTCTATAGAGTAGATGCACTTTGGGTACTGTTAATGAGTTATAATAAGAAGATGACAGAAAAAGAAAGATTGGGAAGGACAGGATGTACCTATCTTGTATCATGGGTGTGGAGCAAAAAGGACAACACTTCTAGCTAGTTAGTACTTTTCATAAGTGGTTCACCTGGTGCCAGTTTCTAAGGGATCACCTCTGACTCCAGCTTTCTTTCACTTTGCCTCATGTTTTCTTGTAACTACGTTCCTTTTTTATTATTAATGTGAGAGCAAGCTGTTTCTTCATACTCTCCCAAAATAGCCATACCTACACAGTAAGAGAAGGGGAGATCTTAATATTTATTCAACAAATATATATTGAGCACCTACAAAAATCAGGGCTCTAGAGAGAAAACAAAAATCAGTTCAAATAAATCCTGTAGCCAAAAGCTTCTATTTCAGTGTATATAACTCATATATATGACAGAAGTGGTGAGAGCCTACATATGTTTATGGTACTTTGCTCTTAGATTTTAGCTTGCTTGCTTACTTTGTGATCCAAGCCATGTACTAATGTCTGTGTTTATTCTTTCTTTCAAAGGGCAACAATTTCCATGATCCTAAAGCAATGTCACCAAATTATAAATACAGATATGATGCTTAATGTGTTCAATCATGACACAGATTCCTATTACACACAGTTGGCACTCATCCAGTACCCTGTCCCTAATACAGGGATGCCCCTGTAATGGAGTAACACTCTGCTTCTTTTGGAGTCTGGGCAAGTGTAGTATTTCCACCTTTGCTAGAGACATCTTTTGTCTCTATGGAGGGAAGAGTGGGAGGGATGGCTGAAGGAGAGACTAGAACTAGGAAACTAGTCAGAGTATAGAATTCTAGTCAGGTACATCAGATTTATGTTGTAATGTCCCTAGTTTTCTGAACTAGAGCAGGAAAATCTATGGTGTTGTTTTACTCTTTTAATGAAAACAAGTTTTGAACCTGGACTGTTGGAGTTAGATATCAGGGAAAGAAGACCACTTAGAATGCTCTATAAAATTCTAGATTGATTTTAGTTTGACCTATCTCATTTTAGAAAATTAAATACTACTGTAGTATATCTTGAAATTTGAACAGTTGATTTCAATTTTTTTTTTTTAGAGCTGCAGTTTTGCAAGAGGTCATTGAGTTGTATAAACAAAGTTATGTTCTTAAGGTTTTGAAGAAATGGAGTATCCAAACAATAAGATTTATGCCTGCCAATTTTACTAGGATTTTAAACATTAAAAAAAGAAAAGAAAATGTCCCATTTCCAATTAATTTTGAAAGTATAGGCAGATGACTGTCCTGAAAAGTACTATATATCCCTAATTAAAATGTTTTCAGCCAGGCATGATAGCACATACCTGTAATCCCAGCTCTGTGGAAGCCTAAGACAGAAGGATCACAAGTCTGAGCCCAGCCTAGGCAACTTAGTGACTTAGCAAGACCCTGTCTCAAAATTTAAAATGGTTTGGGGATGTAGCTCAGTGTGAAGGCCCTAGGTTCAAACCCCTGCGATGAACCATTGTGGGCTTTTAGAATCTTGTTTCTATAATTGTTTGTTTCTGTTATTAGAATTTATCTTAGTGTTAGTTTCTTTTCAATTCATATTGGACAAATTTTGAAAGCAGAAAATCTAAAAAGGATGCAAAAAAGAACAATCTGAAGTGATTTTAAAAGTTTAGTATAAGTATCTTTCATTTTAAATGAGGGATATTGTGCTTGCAAGATTAACCGCATGTTATCAATCCACTCAACCCCTCTTATATTAGGTAAATTAACCCACATTTTCAGTATACAGTCCTATAGCAAAAGATTATTTACTTTTTCTGAAAAATAAATATATTAAAATTTTGGATACACAAGTATAGAGATATACCAGTGCGGCTGTGCTTGGTGTAGGATTCTTCTCCATATGAATCCCACCTCAGTTGCCCTCAGCTTTCACAAGCTGCTTCTATCCTAACAACTTGGAGTTGGGGACTCTTCAGATTAGAACTTTTTTCTTCCATTCTCTACTTTGCAGATATTAAAATCTAGTTGCAAATATTTTTATTCCTTTTTGTGCCATACATTCCCACATGCACTACAGCCTGACAGGTAGAATTCAAAATACACACAAAGAAAAAGCCTAGGCTCATCCCTTTAGGCAAAGGCCAGAAGACAGCCTAGTTACTGCTGCCAGACCTCTGGAATGCATTCGGAAAATTTCTTAGCTTATGGCACAAATTAATAAAATTGGGTTTATATTTTTAAGGTTGATATCAGAATGAGATTATTTTTTATACAGAATCATCTCTTGAGACTTGTTATATTGCTTATAATGAAGAGAAAAAACAAACTTCCATTGTTTGAAATATTAACTGGAAGGAATGGAGAGAATCTGGGAATATAAATCAAATATTTGTACTGTTTTCTTGTCTTAGTTTGTTTATATTTTAATTGTTCTTTCTCTCTACCCATTAAAGATTCCAGTGCTGAATGTTCAAATGAAAATTTTTCCTGCACTTTGTACTGTAGCAGGGACCATATTTTCCTGTACAAATTACTTCCGTGTAATCTTCACAGGTGGTGTTGGCAAAAATGGATCAACAATAGCAGTGAGTATATTTTTAGATTTTCAGTTATTTCCAAACTAGAACTTGATTTTATGGTCACTTTGTTTTTCAATTGAAATGTATAAAGTAATTTCTTAATTTAGAATTTTTCCTTATCTTTGAAAAAAAAGGCCATAACTTCTTTTATGTATACATCCATAAACTTACATATGTGTGTGTATGCACATACTTAAAACAATTTTAATGAGTATGACCTGCTTTGTAAAAATAAGCCTGGCCTGTTGTGTGAAAATTTGAATTTGTGCCTTACCAATTTATGTTGCTGTTTTTTATTAGCCATTCTGATGTTTGTTTATAGCAGTTGTTGGCTGTCAGGCACCATGAGCTTCAGGAAGTTTTAGCTGAGCTACTTTATGGTAAATCCATGGTACATCTGATGAGTATTGCATACTGTTACCTCTTCTCTTCACTCCATACAGGGAACAAGTGTACTCTCTCCTTTTCTCCATATTGGATCAGTGATTACATTAGCTGTAATGATCTACAAGAAATCAGCAGTTCAGCTTTTTGAAAAGCATCCGTGTCTTTATATACTGACATTTGGTTTTGTATCAGCTAAAATCACCAATAAGCTTGTGGTAAGGACCTCAATTTGTATTTGTTTTTAAATTGTCTCTTATTTTGGTTTTATGGATCTGATTTTTATTCTGTAGTTTTGATTTTTTTCCTAATCAGTCCTAGAGGTGGAAATAAAAATCTCTTGACATCATCATGAGAGCTATTTTTACTGTTACATAAAGCTACAATCTGAGGATACCTGAAGTCCTTTGAACCTCTGCAGCTTTTTACCTTTCTAGCTACTATTTCATTTGGTTATTCAGTGTATCTGCACTCATCAGTCTCAATCTGGAAAATCAAGGCTCCTTATTTTTAAAAAAAGCATTTTTTTTTGTACCAGGGATCGAACTCAGGACCTTGCGCTTGCAAGCAGGCACCGTGCCACTGAGATAAACCCCTGGCCCCAAAAGAGCATTTTTTGCAAGCTAAATTAACATGGTATATCTCATTCTTTCTCATTCACTCTTTACATTGTTGGGTTTTTAGTTCTGGAAATTCAACCATTGCTAAAAAATTCTTGAAACTTAATATTTGAGTATAATACTGATTTACTATTTTCCTCACAGTTGCTGTAATGTGAAAATGCCTACAACACTGATTTTATTCTTTTCATAGGTTGCACACATGACAAAAAGTGAAATGCATTTGCATGACACAGCATTCATTGGTCCAGCACTTTTGTTTCTGGACCAGTATTTTAACAGCTTTATCGATGAGTATATTGTACTTTGGATTGCTCTGGTAAGTGTTATACTATGCCTTATTTCATAATTTGAGGCTACTTATTTTCTTGTTTTAGTGAGAGAAAGATCATAGAATTGTAACAACTGTGAATGTCAAACTCACACATATGAGGCATCTAAGAGTTCCTCATGGCTTCATGCTTAGCAATTTTTAAAATTTTTTACATTATTCATATTAGTCCTGCCTATATCGGGACTTATAAGTTCCAAATTTCTGACTATGTAAAGCAGAAATTCAAACTACAGTTTGTGGGCCCAGAGATGGTTTATCCAGCCATAGCCATTCATTCACATACTGTCTGTGTCTGCTTTCATACAGTGGTGGCAGAGTTGAGTAGTGACAAATACAGTATAATCCACAGAGTTTTAATATATTTACTAAGAGTTTGTCCCTTAATATAAAGGAAAAGTCATAAGCAGTTTAATTACTCAAGTGTATAGAATTGCTAGTGAATCTAGAAAGAGAAGAAAGTCAGAGGCCACTCCTCTTTTCTTTTGGGAAGCTTAGGGAGGGCCTAAACTTATGCTGAGAATCTAACAGTCTCTTTTCTTTCCAGGTCTTCTCTTTCTTTGATTTGATTCGCTACTGTGTCAGTGTTTGCAATCAGATTGCGTCTCACCTGCACATACATGTCTTTAGAATCAAAGTCTCTACAGGTCATTCTAATCATCATTAATGATGTAGTGGTGTTATATAGGAAACTCATCTTTTCTGCAGGAAAGAATCCGAACATATTAAAGAGGATGGGGGTGGGTAAGAACAAATATAATTTATAATAATCAATGTTGTGTAACTTTCATTCTTTGTTATTGGTAACACTCCCTAACTATCCTGTGTGAGAGTGGGAATTTCAAGTCCTATCCTATAAATTGTACATGTTGTCGTACAGCATTTGGCTCAAGAGAGCATGCAGGAAAAAAGTGCCACGTGTTTGTTAATCATCCTTGATTCAGAATATTGTCATGGGGAGCAGGTCTCAAATGGTGGAGTTTCTAATGTAGAATACTTACCAGTCAAAAGGTGGTTGCTTTATACTTTTAACAAATCATTATCTTTTAGTAACATCTTTGTTTAGTGTCTTCTCAAGCTTTCTTTACTAAGGAGCTCCAGCTTGTGACAGATACATCCCATTAGCTTGTGAGGTGCAATGAGTGAGAAAGACCTTGAATTTGGATTGAAAGGTTTTCTATCTTTACATTGTTGAGAGGAAAAAAATTTTTTTATCATTGCTCAAGAAATGATATCTCTTATGGGTTTGGGAAATTCTGTTAGCATGCATTATATGATAACTTTGTCGATCCATTTTATTTTTTTAAATAAATATATGGTCTAAAAACCAGTTTTTTCTCAGTTTTATTCAGTGGAAAGATAAACTTAAGTTTTAATGTCATTTTTTTAAATTAAGCAAAATTTATTTCTGTTCTTTAATAAATAAGGAAATCCAGTTAGCTGTGTTGTCATGATGTGTCCTATAATCTTCCTATCTTATAGAAGCTAACTTAAAAAGAGAACTGTTCATTTCCCCTCTCGAGGATGGTGATGCAGTAGTTGTTCTTGTGATTATCCATCATTTGGGAATTTTAGACCTTTCCCTTACATTTTCAGTAATTGCATAGGCCTCCCTGAGCGGTCTCTTGCATTTTCCTTTTTGAGACTCTTCTTCACAATATATATACTACAATTTGAAATAAGAACTAAGTATTGGGCTGGGGATTTAGCTCAGTGGCACCACAGCTGCCTCACAAGCGCAAGGTCATGAGTTCAATCCCCGGTACCAAAAAAAAGAACTAAGTGTCTTCCATGAACCAGGTCTTTTTCCTTTTTATATAGATGTTCTATTGCTTGAATGAAGGAGACAGCAGAAAACATTTAGTGCTAAAAAGATATCTTATTAATGATTTTTATTAATACTGTGTTCCATAATCACAAATAAATAGTAATTGCACTGCCTTGCCTAGCAGCTGGAACCATAATTTCTTGCATTTTTAATAGTTCCAACAACCCAGTGTACATCTGGATTGACAGTGAGAATTACATTTTTCATTTCTTTGCTAGACTGCAGATAAAAAGGACATCTCTCATTACCTTTTCATGCTAGCAACTTCTCCAATATCTAGGATAGGAAAATTCTGGGGCAGTTCAAGCTTTGAAAGCTAGGACAAAGCATGATAAGGAAGGATAAATCTTGTTGGACATAGTTGTATCTGTTGTCTTACTTGATTATTATAGCATGCTTAGCTATAGGAGTTAATTACCTGTAATAGAAATTAAAGTGGGAAGGGAGCTAAATGGTATACCAGTGTCACACAGTATTGATATTTTTCAAAATGGAGACTAGAATCCACATCTTCTAAATCCTGTTCTAGTGTTTTCTCCTCCATACTGAGCTTTAGTGAGCTAAAGCTGAAAACTGAGATGTCCAGGCTAATTGAAATGTATTAGAATCCTTTTAAGAATAAAAGGAAGCTGAAAAAGCACCAAATATTCAGTGTATGCTTCCTTCAGTGCTAGATAGCAGCATCAGATCAAGGATACATTTGTATGAAAACCTCAGCTGGCCCCAATTCTTCTTATGTTTATTTAACTTACACCTACTTTCAGAATCACCCAAAGAAGCTTTTTTTTTTTTTTTTTTTTTTTGATACCGGGGATGAAACTCAGGACCTTGCACTTGTGAGGCAGGCGCTGGAACCACTGAGCTAAATCCCCAGCCCTAAAGAAGCTTTTAAAAACTACCATTTTCCAGTTTCTGTCACCAATATTTTCATAAGCTTCCCAGGATTCTGGCTTCTGTTCTAAAACCTTTTGAGGTACAACTAGGTTTAGGAACCAGACAAAATTAACCCAAAAAAGGTGTAATGATTCTTTGAAACTGTCAAGAATAGAAACAGTTATGGATGGTGTGGACAGTGGAACATTTGCCACATCTTGAAATCAAACCACACTGGCTTTAACTTTAGTTTGGTATCCTTTTCCCCTTGTCTACCCTCCAAAATATTCCTTGAATAGAAGTCAGACCTGAGGACCACGCTCAAACACATTTTTAAAAGAGAAGATGCTTCTAAAAATGTTTCCTATATCTAGCGATGTTTAAACAGAAACTGACAGTGGAGCCATAGAGGTAGGAGGGACTAGGTGACCACAAAAATCCCTTTGGACTTTTAAAATTATTATTCTTGTTTTTTGTTTTTTCTTAAAAGAAAATGTGTCAAGGCAGGGATCCCTCCATCGTTAGCTACGAAAACCTAACTAGGCTTCTCAAAATAACAAGCAGTTAGAGGTAGGCTGTGGAAGATGATGATAAAGTACTAGTCCAGACTGGGAGTGACTGGCAGGCAACCTGTTTACGAAAGCCAGGTAGTATCTGTACTAGCATTGACTGAGCTTCTTCCCCTCATGTTATCCTAGACTGCAGCTTCCTCCATCCAGCTAGCAGCCTCTCCTCCCAGGACTTGAGGAAGCACACTTCTTGAGAACCAAAAACTCCGGTGCTGCTGCTGCCTTTACCAGGATCTCATCCTTTCTATCAGAAGTGGAGCTGCTATCCTGACGTAGTGGCACACATGGTTAATCTCAGCATTCTGAGACCCTGAAGCAGTAGGATCACAACTTTGTGACTTAATGAGACTCTGTCTCAAAACAAAAGACTGAAGATAAAAAGTGCAGAGGCCCTGGATTTAATCCTCAGTACCACACACACAAAAAAGAAGTAGAGCTGCTGACCCATGTGATTCTGTGACTGCAGACACAGCCCACTTCTAGCCCAGTTTATTCTCACGTGTTGCCCCACATAAAAAATTAAGATTACATCTTTATTCTCATCCTCACATGGCCATAAAACTCTTTGAAGGAATCAAACTTTTGGGCTTTCTCTGTTGAGGATTTTCTAATAGTGGTTCCTGGGAGATGGTAGTTACAGTACCTTCCAACCAAGCACCTGTAACACCAGTACTACTGTTTCCTGCTCTGTTTTCCTCTGCAAAAAAAAAAAAAAAAAGAAAAAGAAAAATGCATTTGGAGTTCAGTTCTTTGATCCTGGGCTCAAAGCCCTCAAAAGTCCTGGGGAAGTTGATTCCAAGGATCCCAAACTCAGATACCAGTTTGAATCAAGACCTAGTCACTGGGACTCAGGACTCTGAAGGAGGCTGTGAATTTTGGAGGCTAAGAGCTTTGCTTATCCTACTACACTGGCAGGGGCCAAAGGCCAGAACTGACCTATAGGTCTAGTCTCTTCTGTTCACGACAGCCTTTTCCCTTGTTTTCTTCTCTTTCTTCTGGTCCTCATATTCAAGTATTTTCTTTTGGAAGTAGCCTGTGGGTTCAGAAATAAGTGTTAGAGGCATCTAATCTGGCCAGGCAGGCTATAAGGAGCTCAGTAATAAGGATCAGAAATAACTTTTGTGCCCCACACTTCCCCCACACACGCATCCCTGCTAGGATTCTCAGGCCCTTGTAGGCCTCTGAAGATCAGTATTCAGTTTGGCCTCAAAAGGAGCCCACAGACAGGATAGTTACCAGGGATTAGCCCTAAAATAAAGGATCTAGTGCTGCTGGCTAATCAGCAGACCAACTTGTATAAAATATCAGTCTGTGAGGCAGTGTGTAAGTTTTCAGGGTACTTCCTTTCAATCTCATTAATAAAATTTACAGCCGTTTTATGGACCCCTGGGAAAGACTTCCTTCCTCTCTTCATCCTAGAGGTGACCCTCCTTGGGATGAGACTGGAAGGTGTTACCACTGTACCTGCAGGAGGATTCTTGCTCTTCTCAGCTTCCTGGATGAAAAGAGAGAAGAGCTGTGTCTTCACAAACTTCTTCACAAATCGCCGGTTGGTCTTGGAAGTCAGAGCCTTATAGAAGGACCGTTCTTGGAAGTGGCCTTGCCCATTTGCATCCCGCTTGATATAGGAAGCATAGTGGCCCACAGTCTTGACAAAGAAGTGCACAAAAGGACCTGAAACATGCTCATTGATTTCTTCTAAAGCTGCAAGAGACAGATAAAGTTCATCTCAGAGAGTAGCAGAAGGATGAAACTGCCCAAACTCATCTCTGTGTATGGTTCTCATTGCAGGCCAAAAGCTCCCAGGGGAAGCAGTGGGATAGGGTTCATAATTAGTGACTGATTGAAATGTGAGCCTGGGTATGGGTTCTCTGCCATTGCCCAGGAAAAATAAAATCTCATATTTAGAATTGCGCTAGGATCTGGGCCTCTGGGGCTGGCCCAGAACTGCTGAGTCCATTTTAATTCTGGAAGAGACTGGTTAGGAGTTATGCCCTCAAGCTCCCTAGAGGAACACAAAATAAGGGTGACCTAGAACTTACTCTTTAACTCCTTGATCCCCTGATCAAGAGAGTCTAAGATGTCATCTTGTAGCTTTGGTGGTAGTATGTCTTTTTCATCACCAACCTAAGAGAGGACAATGTGAGCTCAAAAGTCAAGCAGAAAGGACATGGGGAGGGAAGGGGTTGGCAGAAGAGCAGGAGGAAGGCATGAATTCCATACCCCACTCCACACCCAAGTAATCACCCACATAGAGAAACAACAGAAGGTTATTTCTTCATCTTCAGTTTGACCCTAAACTTTAGCAAAGGATTCTCTCCATTCCTGTGGTTGAAAGGTATTGATTGCCTTACAATGAAGTCATCTAGATCTTTGAGGCCTCCTCAAGAAAAGGGAGGTCTTATTAACAGGAGTTCTCAAAATGATTGTTGAAATAAGTAGAACATGCTGGGACCACAGTGGTTGAGTTGGTAGTGGGACTGCAGGGACTATGAATCCAGATACTTACCGACAATAAGAATGTTCCAGCACAGAGATTCACCAACAGGACCTGAAGTAAATACAGAATGACTTTTATCTCTTCATAGGCCTCTGGAGGACTTAACACCCCATTTCTGCCTGTGGCTATATCTTTGGGCCTACGTAACAACAAAATCAGCATCTTCAATTCTCATTTCCTGTCAGGCATTCTTGTCTCCTCACCATTTTTCTCTGGAAATCTCAGTTCCCTTCCTGGGGGAAAGGGTGTGTGTCTAGAAAAGTGGGAGAGGAAAGAGCCAAGGTAGAAAGAAAGTAGGATATGGGAAAATCATAGCCAGTCACTCCCTTAATAAAACATTGATCATAGCAATTACTTCCATATTGGAGCATTTCAAATATGGCACATGTGATAAAACACTTTGTATATTTTATCTCATTTAATCTTGTTAACAGTTCTGTGAGGCAGGTACTATCTCCATTTTGCAGATGAAAAAGACCTAAAGAAGTCGACACTGCTAACAAATAGCACAATTTCTAAGCCTAGCTTGCACTGTCCCTTGGGATTGCATTTCTCTCTACAACTCCCCTTCCACTCCCTGTCCTCTGGTCAGCTCAAGAACAGGTGGGCATGTTTTGATCTTTTGATGCTTACAATGACTTTATATACAATTGCCTAAGGTTTTGTTTGTTTGGTACCGGAGATCGAACTCGTGTCCTTGCACTTGCGCAGCAGGTGGGGAAACCACTGAGCTAAATCCCCGGCCCTGCCTAAGGTTTTAATAAAAACTCCCTCAGAGCCTTGGGCCTCTAGCAGAAAACTCAACAAGGGAAGGAAATGAGGCCAGGAAGAGGGAAGGAAAGCTAAGTGAGGAGACCATGTGCCTGCATGCTACAGTGAAACAAGCACAGGGCTGGAACGTGGGTCCATCATGGCCTATGGGGCCTGCAGTCTAGACTAGAGATTACAAATCAAACAGGCACACTGCTAGCTCGTTCCAACCCGAAGATGTTGCTTTCATCCTCAGAATAATTTTTAAATGACTGGATTAGTTCCTAATATTTAAATTAGGATATTTTACATAAAACTTTGATTTGGGGCTTCTAAAAAGTCAGGAATTCTAACACTAGTACACATTTTAAAGGGCAATGTTCAGCTGCCCACATTAGGCAGGACATGTCACCAATGTACCATAGTCCCCCAAATCATGTGCCAGGCATTTTTGGATCAGTGTTAGGGATCCTCTTCAGTTTGTGGCCTTGTTCTTGACAACAGAGTGAAGAATTCTTACATACTTCCTTCCAAATACAAGGAAAAGACTGAAAATATGCCAAAGAAATATTGCATGCACTGTAATTATCCATCATCAGAGGAGAAAAGCTGAACTAGTTCAGGCATGAAACCACTTATATATGTAGGCTCAGATGTCTTCATGCAGGGACAGCTGTTCATTTAGGGGGTTGGGAGGAAAGAGTGTTATGAAGAATTCTTTTTTCAAGGTTGTTCCCTAAAGTCTTTTCAGTATATGGGCATACTGTCCATGGAGTAATCACTTCCAGAGAGCTTATATAGGGAATCAAGGAATCTCCCCCATTCCCACTCTGGCCACATGGCCCTTCTCCTTCCTCACTCCTTGCCTGTGTCTCAGAGCAGCAGCTGGGTAATAAAATAAGCCTGGATAGTGGGAGCCAGACTCCTGACTTCTCAGTTGTCTTCAAGCCTGTCCATCAGGGGAGGAGCCCAGCTTCTGAGGAGCTGGAGCTGCAGGGTCAGAAAGTTTCATAATTCTGAGGGTTGGGACATTTTAAGTTTAATTGCTAAATACAGGGCTAATACTCTGTCCCAGTTAGTCACAAGGCTAAGGGCGGTTCAAAGGGCATGTGTACTCAGTCAGTAGCTGCAAGGAAGGGTGAGAGACCTGGGGGCACAAAGAAGGGAAACAGCCTGCTTCTCTCCTTCCCAGCAGTATCTTTTGCAAAAGGACTTTGGTTTCATCTGTGCTGGATTACCCATCTGGGCTCCTATAAGTCATGTGGGTTCTCTTGATCTCAGCTATATCTTAATGTAAAATGGAGTAATCCTCCCACTAGGGCTGGCTCCAGGCCTTTTTAGAAGCATACTTCTAGATTCCCTTTTCTTGATAGGCCCTTTCTGCATAGAGTGAATCAACAGTTAGCCAGGGAAGACATTCCCAAGCAATTCTCCTTCAGGTAGGATAACACATTATCCTTAAAGTTCCTACTAACAACTCAAAGAAGAGTTCATGCTGTTTTTTCAACTTCAGGGATAGATTTATGTGATTAATGCCCATTTTCACAATGGGGCCTCTGCAGTGTCAGGGACATTGCCAAGAAATAAGAAACTAACAAAATCAAAGGAGATTTGAATCTATATCCTCATTAACCAACTGATCTCTGGGCTATTCAGAAAGATGATCCTTGTTGAAAAAAATCTGCATTTTCAAAACTTACAATTTGAGTAGCCCTCATAGGAGGGATTACTTCCAAAGAATTTGAATGAATTCCAGTGGGTTGTATGTTATACAGACCAGCTGTGATCATCTGTTGAACTGAGAGATGGGACATCTCAGAGACTGCTTATCAGGGCTAGCTGACGCAGGACAGTCTCAGGAGCCCCAGATAAGTTATGGACTGCCTCCTAAGGCCAAAGAGAAATCATTCAGTAGAAGAGAGCTAATCCTTATTAAGCATCAACTATGTGTCATACATCAGGCTAGAAGCTTTATACAGGTGATTTCCCTGAGAGTCACTAGGAACTGAACATTGTCAGCCCCATTTTACACACAAGGAAGCTCAGACTTAAAGAGATTTAGTAACTTGTCACAAATCACGCAGTTGTTAGTAGCAAAGCTGGGATCCAAATCCAGGCCTGCCTGGCTCCAAATCATGCACTCATCTTGCTGTACATACCTCTTCCATTGGGCTGTCCATAACTTCCTGCTGAAAGCGCATTTGTACTCCAACCATGAAGGGAGTGGGGCAGCAGACAGTGGCAAGAAGGCTCTCAGGGACAACAGGAATGTAGGTGTGTGCCCAGCTGAAGGGATAGAGCAGTGCAGCAGCAGCATGGATGCACTGAGACAGGGTGCTGGAGCAGAGAACAGGGACAAGAGTCAGAAGGCCCCTGCACCTCCACCTTACGTGTCCTGTCCTGGCCCAGTACTTCCTACAAGTGCTGCCTGTGCTGGTGTAAAAGGCAAGTCTGGGAGCCACACTAGACACAGAGCTTGTAGCTACTTGTCACTAGGAAGGGAAAGGCAGAAACCAGGAGAGTAGAGGCTTCACTAACCTAGAATGGGGCCTCAATTTGATCTTTTTTCCTGGTTGGTCTTCTTAACTCATTACTGGCAAAAATAAAAGCGGCTCAAAAGAGGTGAGAGAAGAAGAGACATCTTTGTTCAGAGAAGTGACAGCCTCTACTGTGTGCTCATAACTGTGCTAAGGATGCAGACACCAGGAAGAGCGTTACACTGATTCTGCTGTTATGGAACTGACACTATAGAGATGAGACAATTATGCTAACATGGGGCCTCAGCAGAAAGGCAGAGGCTTTTCTTATGTCTATTTATCCTCATCCTCAGCCTTGACCTCACATGGCTCTCCCTGGCCACTTGAGTTGACTGGAAGCTACCAGGTTGGTGCCTGAGTGAGCTTGGGAAATTCCTAGTTTCCAGGAATCTCTGCCTGACAATTCCTCTCTGGAAAGTCCCACGGACGTGGCTTCTCTAGCCTTTCCAAGGAAGCATTCTTTATGTCATTAGCACTCAAGGCACAACTCAGCCCCTCCTCTCCTACCACACACACACACACACACACGCACACACACATTGGCTTCATAACACTTCATTTCTCCAGCCAAATTGCCCCAAAGGCAAGGCCAATAAAAATGGAGAGGTGGAAACCTTGTTTCAATTCTTAATATCAAGCTAATACTTCCTGAGTTAAAAAGATTGAGCATCTGAGCTTCTAGCTAAAGCTCTGGATGACTAGAAGTCCCCTCCCACTGAGAGACTCAAAATTCAGTGTAGCAAGGAACTGGCAGTTGTGATACTTCCCTGAAGAAAGTTTGCTTCTGAGAGGTAAATCCTCTAGCCTCCATCTCCCAAAGACTAATCTGAGTAATAAGCCCAGAACCCCAGCCCAAACACAAGAGAAACTTCTCATTTTCACACAGAGTTAGGAGCAGAAGAGCCCTTTCCAAGGCAAAAGATGATGCTTCTCCCCACAAAGATTAACTTACAAGTAGTTCCTACAGTACTCTATTTGGCTATCACTGATTTTCTTAGAATCCTCAACAGACACCCCAACCCCTACCCAAGCTTCCTTTCCTCTGAAACCCATGACATTTACTTGGTCCTCTGATCTCTACTATTTTCCCTAACATCCTTTCCTTCTTCTTTTCTAAAAGTATCAATGTCAAGCCCTTACTATTTTATGCTTTTTTCTTCTCCATTCTGTGTTTCCCAGGTCCTTTTCAGTCTTGAAGTTCTCAGAGAAAATCATGGCAGTGGCCTGCTTGGCCTATTCACAGGGATATACTTAACTGTGAACTCACTAAGAACAGTGACGTGTGCTCACCAACACACCTGCCAAGGTGCTAGGTGCCTAGTGTGCACCCAGTTATTTCCTTTACAAACCTACCAGTTAGGTACAATCACTTCCATTCTACAGATAATGAGATCAGGATTTTAAGAAAAGAAACTGACCTAAAGAATACCTCATAGCTAAAGGTGGAAAAGCAGGATTTGAAACTCATTCTGCTTAGTTTCATGCATACAACTATTACATAATCCTGCATCCCCTTAAGGCCAAGGACCAACTCTTATTAGTATCTTCCCAATGCTTGGCATCTGGCGAACAGCTGACACAAATGTTTATCAAATGAGTGAACAAATGAACAGATGGATTTACCCTCTATATCATTACACATCTTCCTATCTTGTTCTCCACCCTCTTTCTGTCTTTGGCCTTGGAAGGGTAAAGTTATATCTGCATCCACCCTAATTGGTCCTACCTAGACTGCTCCAGGAATCCTTCATGTCCTTCTCAGAACTGAATTGGGAAACTGTTTTCAGGCCTGGGCAGCAATCAAGTTTGGAGATGGACAGAAGGGTTGTAGCAGCTGTTTCTCTACGCCTAACATACAAATCTAGAAACTGGAAATGGCAGGGTGGGCACACAAGTCCTACAGTGTGACTTCCTTTGAGAAACTCCACCCTGTTCCCTTCAACCCAGGATGAAGGATAGTCTGGCCATTCAGTATCTGGCCCACCTGAGACCTTCTGCCAGGAAGATGATTTTTCTTTCCAGCACTGCAGAGGCAAAGATCTGAATAATCTGTTCAAAGCTGAGACAGTGCAACAGAGAACTAAAATCCACATGTTCAAGGTGAGAGTCCAGGGGCCGTGTCAGAGAAATGAACTGTGGGAAAATCAGAGAGGGAAATGTCATCACACCTGCAAAATCATGCAGGCACCAGAATCCTGGGCCTCTACCAGCCCTACTCTATTCTCCCTACAGCAGAAAGATGATCCTACCTTACTCCCATGCTAAAAGCCACCAGTGGCACTCATCTGCTCTGAGGACAGCACGATGTTATTTCCAGCATGGTGTGAGATCCTGCTTCGAGCACACTGCCCTCTCTAAGCTTCTTCCCCTGGGTCCCTCTACTTCCGGAGCAGAGGGTGATTTCCCATGCTACCCTTCATGGGTGGGCTTCCCCTGCACTGCTCTCCTTTCTTCATTCTTATCCCCTTTCAGACCTTGAAGGTCCACCTTTACTGCCTGATCCTACCTACCTTTTCCTCATGTACCACAGTGGCTTTTCCTTTTATCACAGTAATACAATTTTTAATGAGATATTCATTGATGTGTTTACTTATTTAATATCTGTCTTTCCTACCAGACTTTTAGCTCCATGACATCAGGAACCATGTTCATTTTGGTTGCCACTGTGTACCCAGGAAAAAAGATAGCTTGGCACACACCAAATATTCAGTATTTATTTCTGAATAGATAAAAAAAATCCTAGCCACTCCTTTATTTTCTGCGGGGATGCCAAGGTTCAGAGGGGCACACAGGCTCTCCAGAAATCCAGAGGTCAGGACTGGAATTCTTAGACCAATGGTCTACTTGCTGCCTCACTCTGTTTAAACCTTGGAATGGTAGCATCCCCAGCTAGCATGGGTGGGGACTCAGGGTGGGGATGAATGATAAGAACTAGACAGATGGAGGCCAGGAGGTAAAGATATAGATAGATATATAGGATAAGGGGGAGGAGGTATGGGGCAAATGTCAGTTTGGGGACTGGGTGGGTGGGGGGCAAAGTCCTTCTAGCACCATAAAAACCTCAACTTACATGGTGTATTGATCACAAATAAAAGTCTTGGTGGCTTGAACAGTAACTGGGTGCTTGTGGACATCAGGTTAGAAGGCTCAGGAAATTTGGGTTTGAATTTTCAGCTCTGCCAATAATTCTAACCAAGTCCCAGTCCCCGCCTGGCTCAGTTTCTCTACACTTTAACCTGGTGAATGGAAGAAGAGGGGTGAGAGATGCCACAGAATCCTACCCTCTCCAGCCAGGGGAGTCTCACCCATTTGCTAACCCACCTCCGTGCCTGAATCAGGGATGAAACTCTTGAGGGTAACAGTCTTTCCAGGAGCAGGGAAGGCTGCCTCTCGAAGGCCCTGCATGAATGGGTAGATGACAGCCATGGAAATCTGATGCCTCTTCTCCACTTCATCCAGGATCTGCAGGAAAGGATTGAAGAGGCACATGTAAGGCTCTCATATGGGCTAGCTTATTCTCATGTAATTCTAGGCCCCTCCACCAGCTGGCTCTTGCCCTCCCTCTCAGAGACTGGTCCCATGTTAAATCGGCTGTCTCCTGAGCAAGATCTATTTCCTAGCCTTCTTTTTTTATCTCTCTCTCTCTCTACCAATCCATATTTCTCCCTTCTTCTAAAACTACTGTCCCCACAAAGTCATCCCAAATAAATTAATCACCCATGATGGCACTCTTGGGACTGTGATCCTAGTAGCCTAACCTCTTGGGTGTCGCTCTGTCCTCTAGTTTTCACCAAACACTCCCAAGGGACAAGGACTGCCTCCAACCCTCGAAACTTTGCACAGATGAAGGTTCCAATCAAGCTGACAAAGTTCCTTCTTCCTCTTCCAAGAGTGTTGCAGGAGCAGAACAAAATGAAATTGTTTCTTGCCACCAAGACATGCCCCATCCCTTCCAAGGGATTCCTTTCAGATCTTCCCTCAGATGTACTGAAACTAAGCCGCTGCAGGAGCACAAGCCTGGGGGGACCTCAACTTCTCTTCTTCCCTCAAAGAAGTAACAGCAAATATCAGGGTTCCTAATTTATGATAATTGCTTTCATATTTGTTTGATGATCCACCTTTTGTAAAAAAGACTTCTATATCAGTTTATTTGAACTTCATACCAGCACAGGAGAAAGAACAGTAAGAGAACATTAACTCCATTGGATAGATGAGAAAACTAGAGCTCAGGACAAGACAGTCTTGAACATCTTCCTTTGTCCTGCTTAAATTACTTTTTGCATTTTTTTTTCAGAGATAGGATCTCACTATGTAGTTCAGGCTGGCCTTGAACTCAGCTTCCCAAGTGCTGGGATGACAGGTGTGTGCCACCATTCATGGCTTCCTCAATTGCTTCCTTATTTGATTAGAGTGGGAAAAGTGGTTTAGAGACAGTCCTCTAAATTCCCTTAAAATCAAGTCAACCCTAGTCCCCCCACTTCAATTTCCCCAAATGTTCTTGATGCCAGCTGGGCTGTCCACTCAGAGCTCTGATTGCACAAGCAGGGCAGACACCCAGGGAAAGCCCTGAAGCTGAACGAGCCTAACAGGCCCCAAGGAATCCTGTTCCACACCTACCTTGGAGAACAAGCTGAAGCAGCCAATGCAGCTGATGATGCAGTATACTTTGGGAAGGCGAGGGCCAGGGCCAGCAGGCTGAGAAGGGACAAAACATTCCCTCAGTGCTATAGCTTCCCCCAGGGCTTGTCCCACCTGGTGCTGATGGGGTACAAGACTGAGTGCTGGGAGTGGGGATTCATGGGGAATAGTGGCCCAGTGGAGAAAGGCCTGGCTCTGCAGCAGAAGGCTCAAAATGGTTACCAAGATCAGGGGACTAGGGGTTCATAGACACCCAAGAATTAAAATGAGTTGTCCAAATCTCAGACTGTTCTGGGAGGCTTCAGCCTCCAGGCCCCAAGCAGGCTTCGACAGAGAAGACTGGGAGAGGAGTCAGGTGGAGAGACTCTCACAGCGATGAGAGCTGTTAAAGCTGGGAGAACACAGACCAGAACCTGGGCGGCAGAGGTTCCCTAGGTGGGCAAGGAGAGAGCCTTGTCCTCATTCTTGTGAGATTAAAAAAGGGACACTGACATAGTAGTAGGTGATGGCCTGTGTTCTCTATAACCACATTGTCTGAGAGCCTGGGCTTTTGCAGCCCATTGGGCTGTTGAACTGAGAGGTTGTAGAGAAGAGAGGGCAGTTCTGAGCAGCACAGACCAATAGGCGCCTGCAGTATCCAATCTTCCTGCTCCCATCCACATTGGTCAGGACAAAGGAGAAAGTCTCCCTAAGAAAAAGCAGACGAGGCTTGGTTTGCATTTGCTTCCTGATTCTAAAACAGGAAGGTAGTCAATGTCAGAGGAGTGGAGAAGAAGACAAACAGGAGCCCTTGATTAGGTATGGCAGTAATAACCCCAGTGATGTATTAAGTACTCATTAGTGCCAAGCCCTAAATGTGTCACCTCATTTGATTCTGAAAACAACCTTTGAGGTAGGTTCAATTATTATCTCCCCTTTAAGATGAAGGAACTGAGAGTATGAGAGTCTATTTCTTATTCAAGTTCAACTTTTAAGTGGTGAAACCAAAATTTAAACAGGCATTCAACTTCCAGACCTCATGTTTTAAGGATCTTCACTATATTGACTTCTGCTGAGTCCAGCTTCTGCCATCAGCAGAGTCAAAAACAATGATATTTGTTCCTAGGACAAGTGAAAGAATCTCATCCATCTTTGAACAAAAATCAAACCACAACTGAAATCTTTAAGGACATTGTTGCAAGATCTTTACAGATGAATCAACTCCAGTCCCTGGCAGGAAATCACCATGTGGTGGCAGAGAAGTCACAGAGTTCACACGTGTCGCTTCTCTCCCATTCTGATACCCCTGCCCCAGGGCTGGCAGTTACCTGGGATACTCAGTGAGAGGTGCCCACTCATTCCCATCTGGGAAGCAAAACAAGGGAATGGCGTTGAGCAACCGCTCTTCTTCCTCCTGCTGGCCCCGAAGCAGGTTCTCCCTCTATAAGGAAAATAGAAAGACATACATGTACTGTGGGGCAGAAGGAGGTCAGAGGGCTAGTGGGGCTTCTTTTGAGCTTTACAGGTTATCTGAGGCTAAGCTTTTTCACTGGCATGGGGATCAAAGAGCACCTTTGACTACCAATCTGTACACTGTGCATTCTGAGTCTGGCAGGAATGAACCCAAAGATAAGACAGCTCCTCCTGGGCCACATCAACATGAATTTGGGGGTCTACATAGGAGCAAGGTCAGGGGCCATACTGAATACAGAAAGGCCCTGAGCCATCCAGCCTCCTTGGGAGGGCAACACCCGAAAACTACCACATCAGAAAAGAGAAGCAGCCAGCTCATTTGCTGCACCTGCTAAAAAAGAGGTTAACGAGAAGGATGCCCTATTCCCACCCTCTCACTCAGTGCAGAATCAGACAAGAAGGAGCCTGATGCTTGGGCTGCGGCGAAGTCCTGGGCCTGCCCCCAGCTGGGTGCCTGCCCCACTCTCTCCTTCCCACATAGCCCACAGAGGGGATTCCTTCCAGGAGGTTTGGCAGAAGGTAAGCTTCTTTAAGGAGAGAAGATGAAATTGGAAAGAACTAGAAGGCCCCAGAAGGGGCCAGAGCACTAGTACTAGCCTAGTTTCCCTGCTAGGAGCCTCAGTCAGTGCCTCACAAAGCAGTCAGACCTAGATTCTGCGGGTAATAGCAGAACACTAAGGCTGGGGTGAGAAGGAAATGAAACTAGCTCCACTATCACCTTTCAAACACCCTAATCCTCTGTCCCCCACCTCTCAGTCCTTACCTTGGGGAACTGGTAGGTGATGGTGGGCTCATAGGCATCCCCTGAACGCTTCTTTTTGAGAGAAACCACCAGAAGATATTCAAAGAAGTGCTGCCCCCCAGCAAAGCTGGGAAGAGTGTGCTCCTGGGTCCTTTCTGGTTCTTTTACAGCTTCCCCTGGATTGTCCTGGGGAGGTCCTAAAACCAAAACACCAAGGCCCCTTCAGTATTTCATCAATCCATTCTGTAAGCTGTGAGAATCTGAGCAACTTCCACACCTTCAGTCCACCTTGCCAGCACTGAGATACCTGGAGCCTGACCAGCACCACCAGTCACGGGACAGGACAAGAGCCAAGTGGAAACTTGAAACCAGAGAGAGCCAAGAAAAGGAAAGAAACCATTGATGTGGAAGCTGAGGAAATATACCAGAGAGTTTTGTGGAAGCCCTGTGCCCCAGGGCACTACAAGTCTCGGTTTACCGATAAGGTGCCCAGGGCATGCCCAGAGTAAACGCATACTAAATTACCAGAACAGGCCCAAGGGGCATATGACTGTGATCACTCTAATCCCCATAGAGGGCATGCCCAGCTCTGCACACCAGCAGAGGAAACCTCCTGCCCTGGTCACATGGGACACCATGTGGCGATGGTCATACAAAGGAAAAAGAGGAAGGAGCCCTTTACGAAAGAAACAGACCAATTTAAGAGGTTCACCCTAATGAAAAGGAAGTGGGAAGTCCTGTCCTGACCTGCTCGGCGTCGGAGTCGAAGCAGTTGGTTCCAGAACATGCGTCCTACCCCTCGTCTTTCCATCTTCCTGCACCTTTGGGGCATGGAGTACTCTCCTTTTCCCCAACACAGGTTGGCTACAGAAAGCCTGAGGAACAGACCACTACTCTGATCTCCAGCCACAACTCTACGAAGCCAAACTCCACATTGTCTTCCAAAGAGGGGAGAGGAGTTTCCATCCTGTACACCCTGTAGTTGAGCAAGAAGGTTATGACAGGGCCCAGGAGGCAGCTGAACCTGGGCATGAATACAGGCAGCATCCTGGCACTGCCACTCAGCTCTTAGCTCCTCCCAAAAGCCTCAGGGTGTGGTAAGAGAAAAGGTCATGAGCAAACACCTCCAAGGCCCGGGTGTTCTGGGATAAGAGCTCTGAATTCTTGCCTGTGGGTTGTGCTTGAAACAGTTAAGAATGCCCAATAGCATCAGATTGTGGGCACTGGAACCCCACTAGACTCAGGGCAGTGATCTGACATCACCACAACTTTGACTGCTAACTTTTCACCTCTCAGCTTTGTGAAATCCCCTGCAAGCCACCTGCCACAATTGAAGTCCTAGAATTTCTAGGACTTCAGAATCTCAGCCAAGAGCACAGAGCTAAATACTGCCTGCCATGCCCTGATTAAGATACAAGATGGCCCAATAATGATCTAAATGGATTAATTCTTCCAGCAAGAGAAGGTGTCTTAGGCCAGGGTTTAGCTCAGTGGCACTGTACCTGCCTTGTAGGCACAAGGTCCTGAGTTCAATCCCCAGTACCAAAAAAAGAGAGAGAAGGTGTATTAGTGTCAGTATGGACTCAAACCCTCCTCTTCCCTGATGGAAAAGTACAAAACAAAATCTATCTCTACACTGAGAATTACTGCTGTTATGTTCAGAATTACTACAATGGGACTCTCTTGCCCTCTACAACATGTCCAGGGCTAAAGCAGAAAGCTCTGTCACTGGGACTGTTCCAGGCCTCCAGTAGATTCCCTCTTTCCAAATATGAAGCACTGACTCAGAAAATTGTCTCCAACCTCGAGTAGGACACTGGTTACACCAGCAGCCTGAGCTCATTCAGCGCCAGTGGAAAGCATCTGGTTGATCGCCACCCCACTCCTACTCCTACTCAGCTGTTTTCCCTATATGGCTGAGCAACGAGCTAAGCTGCTGGCCCACTGCTAAGTCTGAAGACTGAGGAACAGAAAAAAAAAAAAAACAGCAATAAAACACCCCCGATTCTTACAGAAATCTTTAAATAAGGAAATGCATAGGGTAAGAAGGAAGGACTCTTGCCAGGAAGTTGCCTCAAAGAGGAGCCAGGAGACAAAGGGATTTGGTGCCAGTTTCTGTCATTCCTGCAAAGAATAAGCAGCCTTCTGTAAGGCAGTGGGATCCTAAGGTGGGAGAAGCAGCTGCCTTGCTCCGAAGAGCTATAGACTGGGTTTTTGTGGCACTGGTAAAAGCCTGGGCTCAGGAGCCAGCCATGACTCTTGGAGGGGAGGCCATAATCACAGCCCACAAGCATGGCACAAATGCTGTAACAAGTGAGAAGAGTGAACCAGAACACTCAGAACCATCACCATGCCTTACTTGGAATCTGCACAAACTTACTGCACAATCCTTACTTTCTGTCTGAGGAACAAGCACCTTCCTGATATACACGGGGAAACTGAGGCATGGAGTAACTCAGAGGCTATCTAAAATTAACAGGATCTGTTAAGAGTGGGGGTTATGAAAACCCTATGTCCGGGCTCCTACATTCTCAGTGCATTCCACAGCAAACATGCTGTAGAGGTTTGCAAAGGGCTTTGAGAACTAGAATCTTCTCAATGATTGTTCCAGAACCTCAGGAAATCATGCCCTTCCCTAAATCCTTTGGGCAGCATTTTCAGCCCATTTCCTCCTGCCTTATCAGGAGAGACAAGACAACAGTAAAACTTAGAAATCCTTGGTAGATAGAAAATGTCACTAGACTTTTTGGCTGAGGCCCAAGAAATCTAGTAAGAGACTGCTATATCCCTCCCTCCCTCCCTTACAAAAGGGGTTGTCAACAGAAAAGCATGAGAGAAAACTAACATCCATCAAACTCACTTTTCATATAAGGCATCTTATGTTATCCCCAATGCCCTGGAAAGGAATTATTGCCTGAGTTTTAGTTGAAGAGAACCACCCTTTCTAAGAAGCCAGGAGGCTGGTTATACTTGTTCCTTCACCAAGAAACCCCTCCCACAGGCACCTGACAGAGTCTCAGAACTGTCTAAATTCAAACATAGGTGAGGGGACTTCCTGGAACCTAATATGAAAAGCTAGCCAGCCCTTCTTCTTTGAGTTAAGGTGCTCTCAACCCAGGACCACAACACTCCACACCACCAGGATGATTTACACACACATGCACACACACACACACACACATGCACACACACCTTTCTAACACACAACTGCCCTAGGACCAAAAAAGTAGAGCTAGAAAAGAAGATGAAGGCAGAACATTACCCTGGCCTGACAGGCACTAGACTTTACGACAGATAAAACTCTGCCCATCTCCCAGTCCCTCAAGGGTTAGGGAGCTCCTCCAAACAATCACTTGCCCTCTATTGAAATGGGATAGGTGGGTGGGACAACTGGAAGGTCATCTGGGCTGCAGGAGCTGCTTCCTATTCATTCCACAGATTTGCAGGGGTCTGAGGGGCCCAGGAAAACCAGGTCAGTGCTCTCTGGAGTCAGTCTCTGAGCTCTCTCAAGCAGAATAGCCAGATACTGGACAGAATAGCAGGGGCTGAAGAAGTAACAGGGGTGGCAGAAGGAATGGGAACAGAACAAATAGAAGAGGACTCAGAAGTCAATGCAGTTCAGAGAAGGGGGCATTGGCCTAATCCCTGGGCTCTCCCCAACTCCTAGACTTGAAGTAAGAGTGGGATCCACTGGGCTGAGGAATTGCCAGCCTTGAAGAACCTCTGTTCATTTTCCAGTCCTCTTCTCTTCAGAAGCAGGACCTCTGTAAAACATGTAAGAGTCAGGGCTACTCATCCATAGGATTGACTAGCTACAAGCACCACCACTGTTTGATAAATGAATGGATAAATTAATGAAATCCTAATTGCCTTCCTTTCAAAGCTCAAGACTCCTGCTAAGAACAAAGAATAGAAGCTAACATTGACTTCTAGTTTAATTCCCACCTTCTGGACGTGGGAATTATTCCATTTCACCGATAGGGGGTTGAGGGCTAAGGTAGGTCTACCTGTCTGGATCACAAGCTGAGGAAGGATCTAAGCAGGCTCTTCACTGCTCTGACGCCACAGACACAGCTACACCCCAGCGCCCCCGGCCCCCCCTAGGGTGGAGTGGGAACATCGTCAGGCAGACCAGTTTTTGTGGCCGGAGGCTATCTGCGGGTGAGGGGAAGATTGTCTCCCAGACGCTGGGCAAAGGCCACAGCCCAGTGTGGGGCAGCGATGAGGGGCAGGGCGGGCGCCTCCTGGAGGGCACAGCCCAGGCGCATCAGACACGCTGCGGTTGCACCACAAGCTTCCTGGATGGAAGGACACGTGGCCCTGGAGCCCCACAACGGTTTCCTTTGGGCAGACACCTCCCCCTGGTCTCCGCAGGCCTGGCCACTCCGCTGACCTCCGCCCCCGCCCCCACCTAACCCTTTTCACCTCTACCTGCGCTTTCCTCGCTCACCTGTCCCCCACCTAGCCCGGCGGCTCCAGGATCTGGACGCCCGCGCCACCCTGCCCTGGTCGCCAACCCTCGCCAACCTCTAGTCCCCGCTCCCCAGTCCCCGAGCTGTCCCCGCGCCCTCGACCCGGCTCGCCCTGGCCGACTAACCCCCTCGGCCGCGCTTCAGTTTCAGGCTGGCTCGAAGGCGGCGACCGAGCCCATCCATGGCCCCTCGAGTGCCCGGCGCCCGCTCCCAGGTCGGCGCCGGCCCCGCCCCCCAATCCTTGACCTCTGCTGGACGACACTTTCACTTTCACGCGGGGGAAGGCAGCGGGGACCCGCCTGGGGCGGGGCGGCACACCTTCCGGGCTCCTGCCCAACCCCGGGCGCACCTGGGCGGGCCCGCTCTACCCGGGTCCGGGGCACCATGGCTCGGAGTGACAGAGCGCGCTTGACGCGTGTCCGGGAAAGGCGGTGCCACCTCTCTGCCATCTTCCCTGAAGTCCAACTTAGTGAATCCCGCAGACCCCAAACGCTCAGGGTAGTGGCTGAAGGAATCCCTACTTCCCAGAGTCTTCATACCTTTCTTGCCCCTTCACCTATTTCCCTGAGTCTGCTTTGGCCTCTGACCATTTCCAGGTCTCTTGAACTATTTACCTTCTCACCTTCAGGAACGCTGAGCTGGGACTGGAGATGTAGATTAGGATCTTAACTCTGTCTTCCATCCAAACTTGTTCTTCCACAAATCAACAAAACGAGGGCAGTCCCTGCTCTGCTTTCCCAGAAAGAGATGAAAGTCAGGAAATGGAAAGCTTTTTTAAATTACTAGCTGTTACACATCGAAGGGACTTACCCTTATTGCGACTGTCTCCACGCACCTTCTAATTTTAAATTCTAACGCAGCCTGTCAGCCCTTTCTCCCCCGTCTCACCTTCACTCATTTTCAAATATATGCAGACTTCAGACTTCATTTGTCTAGCTCGACATTTTAAAAAGGACCTCTTGCTTCCATCAGGCTTCCCAGTCCCATCAGGCTTCCCTTGGCTTCCCAATCCCTCCCAAGACTTGCGTGTCTGTAAGGGCTGGAAGAGTGTCTGAAGTCTCCCTGTTCATTTAGGTCTCACCTCAGTTTCAAGAGTGGGAGGCAGAGGTAAGAGGATAGTTGGGCAGAAATACACTTGAAGTCCAGGGAAATGACGCGTCCCTCAGCCTTCTTCTCTGTTCCCAAGGATGGCCTCTAGGTGACTCTCTAGTCACAGACTGAGATCAGCAGGAGTAGAGAAGCCAGCCCTAGCATTAAACTGTCTACTCAGCCCCCTAGGTTCCAGAAGTTGCCTTTACTTAGGGTGTAGGCGGTTTTGCCCTTAATTACACAGCCTGTCTCTGTTCCCTGTTTTCTGGATTCCTGCCGTCAAGGACACAGCTCTTCGCCAAGTGGGTTCTTTTGACTGCACACATGTCTTATGCCCCTCTGTGTAAGGGCAGGAGTTGCTCGTGGTAAACTTGTCCAGTTGCTTGACCATTATCGTGCCTTAATTTTCCCAATCTATTTTAT